CCAAAGTCCATAATCAGAAGTACCATTCACATACCTCAACACCCTTTTTGCAGCAGCAAAATGAAGTTGAGTAGGAGAACTCATGAATCTAGATAGAAGACTAGTAGCATACATGATATCAGGTCTTGTTGTCGTAAGATAGAGCAAGTTGCTGACTATACTCCTGTATTGTGAAGCATCCACATACGCACTTCCATCCTTTTTGGACAATTTTTCAAGCAAAACAAGTGGAGTAGAAACTGGTTTGCGATTGTCCATATTGAATTTTTTCAAAAGATCCAATGCATATTTCTTCTGTGACAAGAAAAAACCATCACTGCATTACTTAATTTCTGCCCCATTTCTTTCAAAACTAGAATCCTAGTTCCTGCTTCATTGCGCATTGGTAGCCTTTTGTTGTCCATGTCTTAGGCGCCCATCTTTCACATTTGTTCAATCCAGCCTACACACAAGGGAGATTGTTAAGTGGGAAAATAATCCCATTAAAAAGGGTTTTTTGGTGGCATTATAATCAAGTGAGCCTCTCCACTTATTGTCAATTGATTTTAAGTTAAATGTTTTAATAAAAGAATGGAGATTTTAAATAACTAATGGTACCAAGAAGTCAAGGATTTCCAGTTAATTAAGCACTAGTGAAGTAAGAACCAAACTAGGGCTTATTGATCTGAACTTCTTGGCAAATCTATTCTGTCTTGGCTTCTTGGTAGGCATCGGAGTAATGTGAGGGCTAAACATGGGTTCCTGAACATGCGTTCTTATATCTTCATGGGATTAGAAGGCATCATGTATGAAATGATTTCAGTGTTTTAAGGAAGAACTAGGGTATTTAAATAGCTTATGGCAGGCGGCATGCCTTTCTAGCTTTCTTTCAATAGATCTTGAGAGACGGCCTATCTCACTTCATATTTCAATTTATCAAATTTTATCTTGTTCCAAAGTTTTTTGCCCTTCATGGAATAGGAGAATAAATTTGCTTTTCCCCATCTCTAGACGTACCCTTGCGTCCATATCATTACATTTTTTTGCTTGGCAAGAGTCTTTATTGTACTACATGAAGCACGAACAGTATGGTTTATGTGATTCAAAATTCATCTTTGATTGTGATGCAAGTTTTCAATTTAGGTTGTTGTAGACTTGTAGGGTATATATATTCACGTTGCAGTGATATTTTCATCCATTGAATTGCCATTTTTCCTTTCAGATTGTATACCAATGTGGCTCATATTATTTCCTTGGACAATCTGCAGCATTCTTCAAAGCTTCTCAGATGATGTACAATTTTACTTGACAGTACTATAACAAGCAAAGCTTCCCTGTGTTTGTAAACCATTTCACTCTCACATGGTCCCAGTTATCCTTTTCTCTTGGGTATCTGAATTATTTGAAACCAAATGTCACATTTACACGATAGACAAAACAAATATGAGTCTCAATTGGCTAATGAATATGACGAACAAGTTGCATTTTGAGAGATTGCTTCTTCGGTGCGGGTTTCAACTGAGCATGCAGTCCTCCTTGGTCTTTGAAAAATCTTAACGGTCCTCTCCAGATTCCAGAACTGCACTCACAGAAGATAAGGCGATCCCTCCCAATTACTTCAGAATCCAGAAAAAGGGTTTCCTAGAGCAAAACTACTACAATTTACAATTGACTTGAAGCTAAAGGAGAACGAGGAAGATGAATAAAGAGAAAACATGTAAAGGAATCGACATTACAGTTAATGAAGAAGAGAGAGGGATTACCTTTACAGTTGATGAAACATTGCAGTGCTTGCATCGGATTTCTCCACTCTATCAGTCTCATTGGCAGCCTTTGATGTTTCAACAGACCTACTTTCATCCTCTTCAGTGAAGCTTTGCATGAACTCTCTTACCCCATCTCCAGAAGCTGACCCTTTCACACTTTCTTCCATCATACCATCACCAACAATGGTGACTTCCACAAATTGTTTCACATCTCGCTCACCAGCAATACATGGATCAAAGGCAGGTCTCCCTTCTTCTGTCTTTAAATTGTCCTCCAAATCATCATAATTTAAGCTGCGCAAAATTTCAGGAAGTGGATAAGCACTGTTTTCTCCAAGCTTGCCTCCCATTTCAATGTCAATTTTCTCCTTTGAGCAACCATTATCATCCCCAAAGTTTGGAGTCACAAATCCCTCCACCATATTCTCATCTTCCTCTACAAATGATCGGAAATTATTCAATGAAGGTGGGATCTTGGAGAAAAGTAGTTCACCAAGATTTCTAAGGGTTCCCTTGTTATATGGGTTATCCTTCTTATCATATCGATTTCGAAAGTTCTCATAGGTGGTCTGTCAAAAAGGATCATAAAGTAAGGATAGGATTTAATGAAAATAATAAGCGAGCCAACTGAAAATTTTTTTTAAAAAAAAAAGGTAAAATAAGCAGATACATATCCAGTGAGAAGAAAGAAATACAAACAAATGCCTACAGTTACTACTTACTAGAATACATGCACATAGCCTTTAGGCAGTCACAAACTCCATATTTCAAATTGCTATGGCAAATGAAAAGCCATGTACAAAGCGTCCACAATTGTAGAGACTAATGTTCAAGAAATAATTGGCAAAATTCTAGCATAAACGATTAATCGCTTAAAGACTATGCAAATATTTTGTATGTTATAAATGTGCAACTTAGTTCAGTGTTCATCTAGCATGAGCTTGCAGCTTGCTTTTTGCAACTATTCTTTAGCCACCCTTGGTGCTTTGGGGTGCCTTTCACATTTAACAACTCTGCTAATTTTTCTAAGACAAATACTACGTTTGAGAGAACAGAGAAAATGCTCAGAACCTCAAACTTTAAGAACATTTTCAGTTGGCCCTTATTGGTTATTTGGTTCAATTAAGACCTTCAAAATTTTGAGTTAATCCATTAAACCCTAAGTTTTCTAAGTGATCAACTAAATCAAAAGTAGATGGAAATGTTAACAAAACTGCTGCTTCCTTTGGCAAAGGGAGCACCAGAATCAGTTATCTATCTGTCTATTGTCATGGGAATCTCAAAGGTTAGATAATTGATAAACGATAAATAAACCACTTCCTTTTCAAAAAAAGATATTTTGAGATGTAAAAAATTTACCTGGTTTGTGCAAATCAAGTAGGAATGGAAAACCGTGAGGCCACCAACAAACCATACAGCTATGAAGCAGTAAACTATGAGAAAAACAGAGAGGGCATCATGTGACATAACCCTCCATATGCCCTCATGGGCATCAATCTTCCTTTCGAAGATGTTGATCCAGGAAAACACAAAGACGTATATGCACAAGATGGTTGATGTTGATATGAACATATAAAAGAACCGGTAGTTACGCTGCAATGAGACAGTTAAAGCACTATTACTTTATGATATATGATGACAAAAACAATATGATATTTTAATTACAAATTCTTTTCACAACATTCTAAGTACACAAAAATTGAAGCAATCTGTTCAGGAGTTATGGACCAGAAAGGCCTGGAACTTTATTTCAGAGTAATCTCGTCTGCAGTCATAATTCCAGAACATGTATAATTCACCATAGATCCTCCTACAAGTGTAAATTTTGAAGTCTAATAAAATAATAGAAATCTTAAATTGCCAGCTAGCTGATAGCAGCAGTCAGGAGGATGGAGACATGACATGCAAAATGATGTCCAAATGAGATTTTTAGTTAAGGTGCCTCTTGAATGGAATTCTCAGTAACTATCAGTGTGGCAGCAGATCCGATAGAAAGAAATAGAACCTCCAATATCAAATCAACGGAAAGTACACAATGACAAATTGGTATTTACTTTTGCTGTTCTAACACAGAGACGATGTCAATGACAAACCTGGTTAATCTACTCATGTCAACAATTACAACATCTACACCAATTAAAACAGCGTCTAGGATATACTTCATCTTTATCAAATTTGCTTTTGACAATTACATAATGGATCTCAATTCACTGTGTTGGGCGAATTTAACCTTTTAGTTAGAAGAAAAATTGATCAGATCATAGTGGATCTCAATTATGTCTCCAATGCCAGCCTTGCACAATTGATCAGATTATATAGTTATTACTTTAATGCAATGGGTCATGGAAAGAAGCGTACCATTCCAATGCATTGACCTACCCATGGACAATGATGATCAAATCTTTGAACGCAGTTGCTACATATTGAACAATGAGAAGCACGGGGAGGACGATACAGCAAGCAAGTCTCACAATACTTAACTCTTACTGAGTGGCCATTGACAATCACATCTTTTGTTTGAGATAGTTTCAAATTAGGAGTTCTACCATTAACCCATTCCATAGAGGGGGTAAGCACATCAAATGTTTCATCTGCTTCAGGAGGCCCTGAATTTCTTGGAATAATTCCAGGATCTCTACTAGAGGTCAAAAAAAGAAATAGTAAATCCTGCCAAAAAAATAATTTTAGTATCAACTCTTTATCTACGGGGTTAAAGCTCCAGTACAAAACATTTTCTTATTCACAATGTAGAATATGTCATTGAATGAGGTACCCAAAAAAGCAAGAAAAGAATTATTGATGAGACCATTCACCAAAGAGACACAAGCTACACATAAACCATTTATGACAGCAAAGAAATTGAAAGGAAAAGAAAAGAAGAGCTGAGTGTTACCAAGAGTAGTGAAACAGATTAGACGTTAACAATAGTCAATATATTCATGAAAACAATAGTCAGTTCAATGTTAAACAAAAGAAGCTTATCCCACAGACCACTTGCAAATTGAAGGAGGCACGAGATTCGCATGCTGATCCTAATTGTCCTAATATTCCTTACACATCACTTCCTTTAATACATATGTTAAATGAAATAGAATTTCAGAATGACCTATTCTTAGTGCCTAATAACTTATATGCCCTTTTTGATTGTTTTCTTAATAAACACTGCAATGAATGACAAAGTTAGAGAAAGAAAATATAGAGAATAATTAGCAAATAATAATCTAAAAATGCCATGGAATAATTGTTTTGATTTTTTTTTTTTGGAGGAAAAAAATGGTCATTTCAGTTAATGTGTTATTTTTTGGTGTCAATAGTTTAGTTTCCTGTTCAACATTTTAAGCATACATAATTTCTACAACCGTTACCACCTCTAGCCAAAATGAAAAAAGAAAAAATAAAAAACTTACCACAACAGAGAGTATCAAGCCCACAATTAATATGGGATAACACTCATCAACATGTTTAGTGTTCTTATCTTTGATCTTCATGTACATCTTCATGAAAAAAGCAATTGCAGGGCCAGCAATAAGGAATGAAGAGAGAAACAATGATGCCACATCAGGACCAAATATCAACCTCCCACCACAAAAGAATCTCTATTACAGCCAAGAGAACAATAGATAGCATTAGCAGCTATTACAATGGCATCCACAAGATGATAAAAAAAAAAAAAATGGCATCCACAAACCACAATCAATACAAATAATTTAGCAAGCTAGATATCTTAATGAGCAAAGACCAATTCCTTAAATATTTTAAAATGAGAAACAGATCTGTGAAATTATAAAAGGGATGGGATTTCCACTACTACTACCAACAATGAACCCTCAATAACCACAGCCTGCCCACGATCTAAGCTGGTGATGAATAATGAGATGATTAATCAGCCACAATTGCCACTAAAATTAAAGTAAAGCAATCAAATATTTATAATGAACAAATAACTGCATGAAAAACATAGTCTACTTGCTATGCAATAAGCAAAAGCAGTGACTACAAAAGAAAAGAAAAAGACCTAGAGCATGTATTTTTACTGAAAGCCTGACACATATAATTAATCTGCTATTGTTACACTTAAAATTAATTTTAAATAGTAAAGTATTGAGTCACAGAGTCTGCTCACTAATTCCACAAACAAAATCAGTAATAATGAGAAAAGGCAAAATCAAAGACTAAACATGTGACTTAATCTGAAATTGGCCAACTTAAAAATAGTCCTAACTTATTACTACAAAACCATTACCATGTAATACCCTGAACTTCAACCAAGTAGCAGCCTTTCTACAGTTTATGGATTCAACTAGGAAATAAAATAGCTGTAGATTCATAACTCAATACAAATTGAATAAATGGGAATCCATGGGGTTTTGAATTATCCACTATTTTGGTGGACTCCGACCAAAAGTCCCAAAGTAAGCAGAGTAAGACAGGTAACACTTCAACCGTGCCACAAACTTTAAAACAAGAACAAGTTTCACCATTAACAGAAGAACAATATTCATTCAAAAACACTATTATCAACTGCCAACTAAAAGGCAAAACCCTTTATCAAGAAAATGAAATTGAAAGAAATAACCAGAACCCATGATCGTAATCTCCATATACAAATTGCAAATACAACACAACATAATCAAAAAAGAAAGAGACAGAAGATGAGTTCATCAGAACTCACATTCCTTCCCTTCCAAACTTGATAAAGCCGCTTGGGTTTATCCCAGTTATTCTGGGTCATAGCTCCAGCTGAAGAAGAAGAAGAAGAATCCAAATTTCTTATTCCCATTCCCAACCCATAACACAACCAAGGCGTCTCCTTTCCCCCATGGATGATCCAGAAATGAATCAATAAACAACAATTCAACCGAGAAATGATATCATAATCATAAATTTCCTGAGATTATAGAAGAAACAATGGAGACGGACACCCTGAAAAGAAGAGAGGAAGGCGGTTTTAGATCAAAAACCAGCTGCTTCTCTCCTCACAAAAATTTTTGCAATTAAAAGTTAAAAAACAAACGGATTATACCGAGATCCTCCCTCTGAAAAATTCTTCTTAAAAAATTAAAAGAAAATATTCCTCTAAAAATAATAATTAAAAAAAATGAACTTTCTGTCTTTTTCCCTTCTCTGCAAACGCTGGCGAGATGGTATGGAGGGGATGCCTTCAATTTCTCGCCAATTTATCGTTTTTTTTAATATTTATTTATTATTATGTTAGAGTAAATTTCTTAATAACATTATTTTTCCGTCTAAATTGTAAAAAAAATTAATTTAAAATTATTTTACAGAAAGCATCACAATATTAAAAGGGTTTATTTACAACAAATTTTCAAAATTCCTATAATCTTCAACAATAGTTTTTTTTGTTTAAGACACTTCTACCCTAAACCTTTATTTTAAACCATCCATCGTTCCCAACAATTTTGTTATGACCCGACTAATTAAAGACTCGAGACTGCATTTTTGTACATAGTCCACATTCTTCGTTAGCATTTAAGTCAATTTTTAAACATCTCCCATTACCCATTGACCTTTTTGTTAAGTTTGATTAAATGCTAACATTAAGTTGAACCTAATTAATTATTATTTATTAATGATTTAAATAATTTAATAATAATTTTTAAATAAAAATAAGATATTTTTAATGTAAATTATATAATATGTGAGTGTAGTAGAATTAGGAGATAAAAAATTGTTTTTAATTGTGCAACATAAAATGAAAAAACAAATTTCAAAATTTCTGTTAAACTTATCATCTAGACCTAAATGACAATGATCAATAGGAATATTTTCAAAAGGTTAGGGATGGTTGATGGAATGAAATCGAGGTTAAGGACAAAAGTGTTCTATGTCAGAAGAGTTGGGGACTATTAAATGCATTTATCCTCATTATTATATTTATTAATTTTATAAATAAAGTTTATTAGTCATTTTTTACTAAGGGATAAGGCAATTTACCAGCTATTCTATCTACTGCCCATTAGTTTTAAATTATACATAAATTTTGTATTGAAGTCTACTTAACTAATTTTTACATGATATCAAAATGGATCAATTAAGGCTTAGCACATTTCTTCAAGCCCCTTTTCTTCTTCCTCTTTATATGTAGGCCTCCTCTTCTCTGTATGGCGGCATGCGAAGCTCTGCCCTAACAAGTCCAGTGGGTTTATCTGCCTTCGAGGACATATGAAGTTCATGTGTCAACCCTTCCCAGTTAAAGTGGGGAATCCCACATTACAAAATAAGAGAAGAATATATGACTTAA